GTGAAAATAATCATTGTTTAAAAGCTATCCTGGCCAAAGAGATAGTAAAGGTGCTTGCCCTGCTTAGAGCTTAAAGGGAGCCCGAGTCTCCGGAGAGGTGGTCTGGTTCCCAGCTAATGGAAGCAGTGGGTTGCTGGCATTGAGCCCTCTGTGGGAGTGAGAGGGGCCGCGGGGGCGGGTGCTGCTCAGCAGGGCAGGATCAACTGCTGTGGGGAAGATTCCTGCAAGGAGACAAGGGTTGGCCGCCAGCTGATGGTGTGACGCCAGGCAGGTGACAGCCCGTCTTTGGGCCTCAGCTCCATCGCGACACTGAGAGCATCTGACTTAGTTTCAAGGAGTCCTTTGGGTCAACAGAATGGCTGACCGAAGTACCCACCACCACCAACAAACCCTTTCAGGGGAAAAATAACTGAGAACAAAAGTCTTATCTTTAATTCCCCCACCCCCTACGTTCATCTTTTGCTCGAAGTATGGGGGACGGGCCACCACCTTCTGCGGGTTTCCCTCCTACCTCACTCACTATCCACAAAGCTTGGTGCTCGTAAGCGCCCAGCAATACTGCGGAGGTCAGATGGGATAGTATGCTCAAGGTCCTGAGCACAGTGCCTAGAACAGCAGCGCAAACCTGGTCACTCTTCCGATCAAGCTAGTTCCTCAGGAAGTAACACAGGGAGGAAATTATGTCACATCCCCAACTCGGAGAATGCAGCCGCGCAGGGGATGAAACAGCAAAGACACCTGGGCCAAGGAACCCGTTTCCAGAAGTTCTGCTCCATGTCTACTCTGCTCTTGTTAGAGACCTCCACCCTCCCTTTCCACCACATTCAGAGATCAAGACCCCAAGGTCCAGTGCGTTGATCATCAGCCTTAGAACAGCCTGGGGGATCAGATTTGAAATCCCAGCAGCACACGCTCCCCAGCAGTTCACTTGGCTAATTCATTTCCCTTGGATGAACCTTAGTTTCCTCTGCTGCGAAATGGGGCTCAGGAGGGCTTGCTCTGGGGGAGGAGGAGGCGACCAGCAAGTGGATGTGTAAGTGTGTGTGTGTATGTGTGTGTCTGTGTGTGGGGGGGGGAGGGTGACGCTCTGAGGAATGGACACTGGCTCTGACGCAGGAGAGTCAAGAGGTTTCTGGGCTGATGGAGAGGATTCAGAGAAAGGAGCGGACAGAACTTAATGAAGAGGGAAATGGCTAAGAGCCGCGTACCCGCAAAAGGCAGAAAGTGCTAAAAGCTGTCATTTAGTTAAAGGTCAGGAAATGCATTTTTTTCCTTCTTAAAAATAAGCAAAAAGAAAGAACACAAGCTGCCTCAAACATTAGTGATTGAATAAACCGGTTGGTGGCCAAGCAGTAAAAAACAGGAGGGTGATTTCATTCACAGGGCCAGGATAGAGCGCATTTCCTCTGAATCAGAAAGGCTAAGGGGAGCAAGGACTTGGGAGAGGATCAGACCCAGCCCAGTGATGCTGGAAAAAGGGCCTTTGGATGTAGAAAGACATGTGATTTCCAGCTGTGCAATGCACTCTTACCCCTTGGGCACATTATTTGACCTTTCTAGGACTTGGTTTTCACATCTGTAAAATGGGCAGTTGCAATACCTATCTCACTGGATAGCTGGGAAACTTAGACAAGAGAACACAGGTTTTTGTTTGTTTGTTTGTTTTTTGTTTTTTAAGAGAACACAGTTTCGGGTCAAGTTTCAGGCACATGGTATGGACCTCTCTCTCACCTAAGGCAGGGGGAAGAACGAAGCTAGAGAGTTGGCTGTCAGTCATTCACTAAGTGACTTTGGGCCTCAGTTTCCTCATCTGTGAAATGGAGGTAGTACAAAGATATAAACTTTGTGGACGTTATTGAGAAGAACAATCTAGGTGGCCTGCTTAGAAACGGTTTGTTCCTTTTTAACTGCTGGCATTAGTTCATTATTCCTTTTCTATTAGGCATTTCTATAATTCATTTCCAATATGACAAGTTAAAGTGACATCCTCTTTGAGGGGAGGGGCACAGTTCTCAGTGGTCATACCAGTTAGATCCCCAGACCCATACCTTAGGGACATTTGGTCTGGGGGTCACATCCAGTGCTCTGTGGACACCAGGCACGGCGTCAGCCCTTCGCACTCACTCCCTCCCCAGCCCCAACTGTCCCCCATTTTCGCAAGTCCTCTCCCAGTGCTGCTGTTTCCCTAAGGCAGGTCAGTAGACATGAACTTGTTGAGTTATAGGGTAAAATCATTTTTGCCTTAAGTAGGCACCTTATTGCTCGACACATTGGCCGTGGCATTTTATAATCTTCCCAGCAGTACGTGAAAATACTCCCAAATACTTCCCCACACCCAAACTCACTATTGATGATGTCCCTTCTTGGGCTTTGGCCAATGTAACAGTTGGGGGTGGGGAAAAGACATCATTCTCAAGTTGCATTCTCCTTCCTGTTAGTAAAGTGAGCATCTTGTTGGTATATTAGGCACGTGTGTGTGTATTATGTTTTTCTCCTTTGCTCGAAGGTTTGTTTATCTGTACTGACTACTAGTCTTCCTTCTGTTTTACATACAGTTGATCCTCGTTACTCACAGCAGCTCCAGCTACTAAGCCACTGGGACACTAAATGAGCAAACACTGAATCACTAGGGTTCCGTGAGCCTCTGGTTATAATGATTTTGCCAACAGATCAATACATAATTTTGTTTTGCATGTGATTCTGGTGAAAGACACCTCACTGCGTATGTGTCATTGATTCATTAACAAGGAACTTGTGAGGGAGAACAGCACAGGAATTCCTTTTGGAGTGAAGCTTCTTTAATAAGCATTTTCTCCACAGGGCATTTCACAGTCTTCTTGTGGTCAAGAACAAAGGGGGAGCATTTCTGCACTGCATGGGAGGGGTCTTTTGAACATGAAATCACCAACAAGTTACAAAAATGCAAAGTGTCACGGCATTCAATCTACCACAGTACTATGCAAAGGGTGCTTGTTTATAGTTTGAGAGCTGAAACAAAGAGGCAGAGAGTAGCTTTGCTTAAACTTAGCTGAAGTAAACGTGTTGGTTCTTCAGCTCATGTCCAATCTGCCAATGATCTCAGAAATACATTAATTTTTTGTGAGTGTGTGTGGGTTTCTGAGTCACACCTGGAGATGCTCAGGGGTTATTTCTGGCTCTGCACTCAGGAATTACTCCTGGTGGTGTTCAGGGGAACATATGGGATGCCAGGAATTGGAGCTGGATCAGCCACATACAAGGCAAATGCCCTACTGGCAAAGCGTTAGCTCTGGGCTGGCCCCATTTTTTAAAAAATGTTGTTTACAGAGTCTTTTATAGGACCATTTTTGATGTTTATTTGTACTGATATAGGCAAAATGGCCAATTTCCTCCAATTCCAAACTGCTTTATTCAAATTCCTGCAAAGTATTTATTCTTTTTCTGAACTAAGATTTCTCAGCATCATCTCTGAGCATTTTGGAACAGATAATTCTCTGTGGTAGGGTGCTGTCATCATTTTTGTTTATTTCTTTGATTTTTGAAGCAAACTCAGCTGTGCTTGTAGCTTTACTCCTCGCTCTGCACCCAGAAACTACTCCTGCTGGTGACTTTGGGACCAAACGGGATGCCAGGAAATGAACCTGGTTGGCTGTTTGCAAAGCAAATGCCCTAACCTTTACTATTGCTTTGGGCCCCTTATTTCTTTTTGAAGGCCTCTAGAGTAGTGCCGGGGGCCCAGGGCCTAGGTCACTCAGGTGCTACAGACCTTATGCTGTCTCCTGGGCCCTGCTTTATTCTGAGCCCCGAAGTCCTTATACCTTTTTTTCTCCTCCTCGGCGCTATGTATTGAACCCATGCAAGGATATGCTCTCTCATTGAGCCATACCGTGAGTCCCTTAAAATACCCTTTTATTAACAGGACAAGTGCCTTCTCTTTTTTCTTCCCCAAAATATTTTCATTCATTCTTGCATCTTCACTCTTCTAGATGTTTTTTTCTTTTCTGCCACACCCGGTGATACTCAGGGGTTATTTCTGGCTCTACACTCAGGAATTACTCCTGGCAGTACTCAGGCAGATCATATGGGATGCTGGGGATGGAACCTAGGTCAGCTATGTGCAAGGCAAGAGCCCTCCACACTGCACTGTCTCTTCAGCTCCTCTAGATTAGTTTTAGAACAAGTTAGACAACTCCCGGAAACCGTTTGTTGCCATTAGCGTTTCTAGATGTGGCAGGTGCAGGTGTTTCCGAGACTGAGCCGTGGATGCACATCCTGGCTGTTGCTCCTTGTGCCCAGGGTCTCTCCTGACTTTCACCGAGTGGCATTTGTAGTCTTTCTCTATTCGTTGAGGCCTGAACTCTCTCTGGTCTCCACCAAGCAGGGTTTGTTTTGGGGGCCACATCTGTTCTTGCTCAGGGCCTACTCCTGGCTCTCTCAAGAGAGACCGCTCGTGATGTCAGGGATTATGTGCGGGTGCCAGGGATCAAACGGGGTCAGCTGTGTGCAAGGAAAGAGCTATCTCTCCCACCCTGGGACCAGCTGGTTTATTCTTTATTTGGGGGCTACAGCCGGCAGTTCTCAGGGTTTACTCCTGACTGTGTGCACAGGCATCATTCCTGGTGGTCCTCAATGGACTATATGGGATGCCAGGGATTGAACCTGGATCAGTTGTGTGCAAGGTATATGCCCTAGTATTTTTGTCTGTTCCCCTGTCTCTCGGGTCTTTTTGACTCCAAGAAAGCCAGTGAGATCTGTCCACCTTCAAAGACAGCCCTGCCGGCTCGGCCAAGGTCGGGTTCCTCATTGTCATCAGGATCTAAGCAGATTCATGTGCTGCTGTTACAGAACAAATAGTTCAGTTGGAAAAGTAGCCTTTTACCCACGATCGCATTCTGCCCTCTCTTTGAGACCTAGTTATTCCCCACCCTGAATTTCAGTCCTACCTGTGACCATTCTAGTAAGTCACCTTAAATCTTAGGCTTGATTTTCTCATTTGTATCTCCCCTACTATTTTTTAAAATTTCTGTTTCCTGCATGGTTCATCTCCTTGGTCATCGTCTAGGACCTCGAGAAGCTGTAGGAATGTGCAGGCTCGGGCCCAGTTTGATCTCCAGCAGGGCGCAAAGGGACTGGACCTCAGCAGCAGAGCCCTCTGCTCCTCTGTGCCACCTGGGCAGTGCCCGGGGTGAGTGACCTCCCAGGAGATCCACAACGGAAATTTTCTCATTTGTAAAATAGAGATTAAAATACCTCTTTCGAAGTTTCTCTGCCAAAGTATATGAAAGATCTTCTGTCCCTAGGGAATTGTATTTTTCCTCCTTTTGATTTTGTGTTAGGACCACACCTGGCAATGCTCAGGTTCCTTTCCTGGCTCTGCACTCAGGAATCACTCCTGGTGGTGCTTGGTATGCCAGGGATCAAACCCGGGGCCGGCTGCGTGCAAGGCAAATGCCTTACCCACTGTACTGTACCATTGCTTTGCCCCTGGGACTTGCATCTTTTGTAATACCTTGGAGAACTTGATAAAAATATATGTAATAAATTTTTGTGGCATTTTTTGTTTTGTTTTGCTACTTAAGCGCTCCCAAGGGTTTACACTAATGAAGACATGGGTAATCCAGGCATCTTATTATCTGAAAAATAACTATATAATCTCTGAATAAATTGAATTGGGGGGGGCTGAAAATTTCTCTATTATATTTTTTTGGAGTAAAAATATTACGCACTTGCATTCCCTATGACTAGAATTAAAACACTGTCTTATGGAATCCACCAGACAGATTCATCTTTGTATGACAAGTGCTGACTTTATCAATCAAGAAACACTGAGCACATGACACTTGGGACAGAAAACTTCGGATCCAGAATCTCCTGAGAAATGTGAGTTGGTGCTGAGTATTCCAGGAACATTTGTGAAGCAAACATTCCAAACACCTTTTCTAAATACCACCCCCCCCCCCGCCTCGATCTCCCCCCACCTCCTGTAAAGGTACAAGGAGTGGGTTGGCCTCTTTCTTACCTGTAGTCTGCAAGCTTAAGCCTGGGTCCAGCTTTGTGTGTGGCTTTGAGCTGAGAAACAGGAAACAAAGCACACAGGCGGTAATGATGAAGGCCAGGAGGACCACTGCCGCGATGGACAGGCCCACCAGGGCCCCGATGCTGGGGGAAGAAGAGCAGAAGAAGGCAGAGTGTCAGGAAGGGTGGGAAGGGCAGGAAGGGGATGTGGGAGTGAGTACGATCAGCTGGTTCTGACTGGTTCTGTCTCTCCTGGCCCTGAACGAGCTTTCTGGGCCTGACCGTGGAAGAGCAAGCACTGCCAGGCTTGCCAACTCCCTAATGTGACATGGTTCCGTGGCACGTCATGGGGACTCTGATTCCCTTTCTCCCTCTCAACTTTCTTCAACGTGCTCCCCGCTGAGTTGCTGGCGGCAACCTCAGAGAGCCCTTCCCTCTTGCTGCTCCCCGGAAATCCAGATGCATCGCAGACTTTCATTATGAACTTGCTGCCCTGTCCCTTAGGTTAATCCCTCCTTCCTCTCCCTGACTTTACTTCCCTCTGTTGCTGCTGTGGCGGGGACCAGGATCACATGGCTCTTGCATGCACACATTCTCGCAGGGGTGCTGCACTCATCCAGCTGTACCCTCACATGTTCTGCTAGTGGTTCTGGCTGGGGGTCACCATGCCACTCACATGTGTGCTCACAGGGCTGCACTCTAGGCCACAGTGCTCAAACCTCTTTAGCAGCGGTGCCTGCTGGGGTGGGGGAATGTCGCACACTTGGTTTCTGGACTTAGTCCCACCTAATAGTCACCGGGACAATGCTTGGCGCATGTGGATGGCACCGGGGCTCAAACTCACGACCTTATGCTTGCAAAGATGAGCACACTTTTAGTCACTGAGCCATTCTCTGGGCCATCAAGGTCATTTTTTTGTTTGTTTATTTTTTGGTGACACCCGATGGTACTCTGGGGTTACTCCTGGATCTGAGCTCAGCATTAACTCCTGGTAGTGCTTAGGGAACCATACAGATTGTTGGGGATCAAACCCAGGTCGACTGTGTGCAAGACAAACACCCTACACAATACTTTCTCTCTAGCCAATCAAGGTAATTTTTGCCCAAACTTCCAGTGGGCCTCTCTACGATGTGGACTTCAAGTCCAGACTACTTTCCTGCCACTGACCCCTCACCCCCCAGCCTTATAACCTCTACCGAGAGACAGACTTTGATCCACTGGTATCCAGACAATGACCTTCTTAACCTCTAGACAAATCTTGGTCACTTGCTCACCCCCATCATCTCTCCCCAGAGGTATTTTGCCTGTCCTTGAGGCCTATTTCCTACTTCGTCTTCTCTGGGGTCATTCTTGTGGGCATTTGGGGACTAGACACAGCGTGGTGCTCAGGGGTCTGGCACTGCCCTAGGGACCATGTGTTGCCAAGGTTGAGACTTGGGGCTCCTTCTGTAAGGGACAGGCCCAAAATGGACTACCACCAGAATTAATTTAGCTTAGCTTAATAGGAACCTGCATTGCAAAATAACTTGTTTTTCAAGGAACAGGTCTAGATAAGCTTTTTCAGATCCGCTTTATAGGAGCCTGCACTGCAAAATAACTGGTTTTTCTGCCCCTGAGCAAGGAATTCAGATACAGGTACTCGAAGGGTGGGGGTCAGACCAGATAACCGGATGTCTCTCATAAGACCCATGTTGCAAGACCCAGGACTGCCTTAAAAACCTGTCAGTTCCTAAGCACCGACGAAAATGCTGATCTTTAAACTATAGGCTAAGAAGTGATGTACCCTTAATTGAATTGGTTAGGAAAGCATATGTTGTTACAAATCTATTGGCTATGAAATGCGCGGGCTTTGCTGTAAGGCCAGTGAAGGCCTATATAAGATCTCCTTTGAAGAGGTTCGGGGTCTTGCCTCACCTAACTGACCTGCGTGTCTGTGTAGGCGGCTTGACCCTGGCTAGCCAGTCTTACAATAAACCTTGCTTGCTGTTTGCAGTCTCTGGAGTCTGTCGTTAAAGGGAGATCACGATCCGTGCCTTAACACTTCATGCAGAGCATGTGCTCTGGACCTTTCAACCTCTCTAGTCCTCAAATATCTCCTCCACGAGCTGCCAGAGGCATAGCTCAGAGGGAAAACACTTGTCCTGCAAATGTGGGGCACCAGGTTCCATCCCTGGCACCACACACACACACTCACACACACACACACACACACACACACACATGTCTCTCCTCGATGATGCTGTTCCCTGGTCACCTTTGTTGCGCCTTCTGTGCTCGCTTTCCAACAGGCCTCAAGCTACTCCCTGGACTCAGTTCTCTGGGTCCTTCCCATGTTACAGACTGTGGAAGGTACCTGCCCAATTAGGATCCACCCCATAACCAGGTCACCATGAAGCTACTGTAAAGTTATTTATCCTTTTGAGCCTCAGTTCCCTTGTCTGAAAGGTGAGAATGAACAAAAGACAGTGCCTTCTGAGAGATAGGGAGGGGAGGAACGACACATGTCGCATTTTTGCCACGTAGTAGGTACTCAGTCTACTGGGCACATGTTCTCCAAGGCAGGCTCAGCCCCTATCATCACCCTCCCCAAGTTCAGGCTGGCACACAGCAAGTGGTCAGTCAGGGCTCACTCCGCACCAGGCACTGAGACCTCCTGGCGCAGGCGTGGGCAGCACCAGCCTTCGAGTGCCATCCTCCCCTCACGTGCTCTTGCCATCGCTTCTGGATTTTCTCCTAGTTGGTGAATGGCTCCTTTCCCAGCCAGCTGCTGGCTTATTTCCATGGAACAGAAACCCTCCAAGCTCCAGAGAGACTGTCTATAGCTACATAAATAACAGGACACCCTTAATGGAATAGTACGGAGCCAGGAAAGACATGTTTTCAAGTAATACTTAAGGGCAACAATAGGAACTAGAGCAAAAGCACGGTGGGGAAGGCGTTTGCCTGCACATGGTCGAAACGGGCTTGATCCCTGATATCCTATATGGTCCCCTGAGCACCGCCAGGAGTAATTCCTGAGTGCAGAGTCAAGAGTAGCCCCTGTGACCCTCTTTCCTCTCCCCCAAAATCAAGAGCAAGGATATGATGCTGGAGTGATAGTGCAGTGAGTGAGGAGCTTTCCTTGCATGCAGTTGACCCAGGTTCAATCTCCAGCACCCCGGATGGTTCCCCAAGCCCTCCAAGAGTGATCCCTGAGTGTAGAGCCAGGAGTAAGCCCTGAGGACTGCTGGTTGTTACCCAAAAACACACACACAAAAGAAAAAACCAAGGATCAATTCTGATGCGATCACATCAAGAAGACCAGGACACGGGCTGAAGCGACAGTACTGCGTGGTACTCTGCTTTGCACGTGGTTGACCCAGGCTCAATCCCCGGCATCCCATGTAGTCCCCCTAGCACCGCCAGGAGTAATTCCTGAGTGCAGAGCCAGGAGGAATCCCTGAGCATCACTGGGTGTGACCCCCTCCCCATAAACAAAGAACAGGACACTATTAAATCATACCCCCAAACTTAAATAAATAACTGGAGAATAGATACATAGTCATCTGTGTGAGGATGGATGGATGGAAAGATCTGGAAATGTTAGCAGGCTGTCTCTGGGCCTGGACCAGGCAGTGCACAGGGATGTCCAGGTTGGGCCACGGGCTCTTGTAAATGTGGTATTTTTTGGTCCGAATTTCAACTGCCAGCAATTTTCTCTCCTTGTCAGAGGGCTTCCTTGGTCTCAGAACAATCTCTCTCTCCACATGGAGCAGGTCACAAACGCAGAATGGTGCCTCCCTTCAGGACCAGTGCACAGTCAGCGAGGAGGATAAACTGGGGTGTCCGCCGCAGCGGGAGGCACCTACTCCACTCTGCAGCTCCAGCGTGGTACTTCCGGTTCCCTCACACGGTGACACAGCATTAGCTCCCTCCCTCTTTCAATGCTCACCTCCACCAGAGGTTGCCAGGACCCTCTCCCTCTAGTCCAACTTGTTTTCAAATCCTGGAGTCTTCTGAGGAAGCCGCACTAAGTCACAGGATCACCTTCCCTTTTGGTTTCTTCTGCCCTTGCAGCTTTCCACATGCAGTGTTAGTATAGTTCTTAGAAGACCCTGGATTAGATACTTTTTCTTTTTTCTTTTTGGATCACACCTGGTGATGCTCAGGCGTTACTCCTGACTCTGCACTCAGGAATTACTTCTGGTGGTGCTCAGGGGAGCATATGGGATGCTGGGAATAGAACTTGGGTCGGCCACGTGCAAGGCAAATGCCATACCTGCTGGGCTATTGCTCTAGCCCCTATTTTCTTTTTTGAAATATCTCACTGCTTATGGGTCTGTTGCCTGAGCTGTCCAAGCACACTACAAATGGGCACCTCAATGAAAAGGGTCCTCAAAAAGTGTGGTCTTGGACTTTGCTTGCAGGAGGTCCTGGTGTGATCCTGGCACCACAAGGTCACTTGAGTACTTGTGTCTTCTCCCCAAAACATGTCAAAATAAATTTAAAAATAAAAATAGGGGGCCGGAGTGATAGTACAGCCAGTGGGTAGGGCACTTGTCTTCTACATGGCTGACCTGGGGTCGATCCCCAGAACCCCATATGGTTCCCTAAGCCTTCCAGGAATAAGCACTGAGCACCACTGGTGGTGGCCCCAAAACTAAATAAATTAATTTTAAAAATAAAAAAAGGGTCTTTGAGAATTCGGCAAGGGAACTGGGAGGATATAACTCCAACCTGAGGTCAGATCTGGCTGGGGATAGACAAATCAGTCCCCACTGCTAAGAAAATCTGCACCTTATAAGATGAACTTTCAGCGTTCTGAATGGTTCCATGGGTGAACACACTGCCAGGAGAGATGGCCAATTACTGTCACTGGACAGACAGTGTAGATGAGTTCCCCTTTCAATAAAATTAGAGATCAGAGCTCCCTGCCCCAGGTGGGAAACTAATTGAAACATAGGATTTCACAGATTTATGATCGATAGCACAGTGGTAGGGTGTTTGCCTTGCACGCGGTTGACCTGGCCAACCCGGGTTCGATTCCTCTGCCCCTCTCGAGAGCCTGTCAAGCTACTGAGAGTATCTCACCCACATGGCAAAGACTGGCAAGCTACCTGTGACATATTCGATATGCCAAACACAGTAACAACAAGTCTCACAATGGAGACATTACTGGGCCCGCTCGAGCAAATCGATGAACAATGGGAGGACAGAGCTACAGTGCTACGGTGCTATAGTGCTACAGTGCGTGATCTTAAAGTTAGGTCACGCCCAGTGGTCCCTAAGAATGAGGCACAGTGAACATCTGACAGGACGTCCGTGTTCTAAGTTTGAATCTTCGGCCTGATGTTCTTTTTCTTTATTTGTAAAATCCAGATGTGACCAGGGGCACATAAAGATGGAGAGATAGTGGGGGTCCCGGGCCTGGGCACCAGCTCTGCCCTCCAGTAAGGCTGCTGGTGGAAGCAAGGGCTCCTGGGGGGAGGGCTGGGAAAGTGAACCTCCAGCAAGAGCACCCGCAGCTTCTCCTCAGCAGGGCGTCTTCCCTTCCACAGGGCTTTTAAAGACAGTCATTCTTGAGCTCTATTCAAGCAAACAGTGTTTACCTGGAGATTTTTCAAGTGGGGCTTCTGAACAGAGCCAGATGGAGGCTGGAACAAAGCAGGGTCTCTATCCTGCAAGGCTGGGCTGGTCAGCCGCAGGCCGGGAGAGCCATTCCGATGCTGAGAGACAAGTATTTAGAACTGAGCACTCTCAGGGACCTCTCTCACTTGACTGCAATCTGTGTTTATTAGCTAAGTACGCCCAAGCCCTGGCTGGAACCTTTCAGCTGCCCCAAGGGTCATCGAAGAGGAGCGCACTGACATGCTCCAAGTCCTCACAGAACAATATTGACAGGTTCTTGGAAACGGTACTAAAGTAAAAGCAAAAGGATCTATGACAAAATTGGGTCCTCAAATAACATCAGCGGGATTTTTCCTTTGCCATCAATGAACTTGCACTGAGCTGAAAGGAATTCGAGGAAGTGCTGCACAGCGTGATCTAAGAACTCACCCCATCTAACCCTCTCCTGCTTTGTCCAGGGTCATTGCCTCAGCGAGCAGGTCCCCAGGCTGGAGCCGCACGAGCAGGATCCAGGGAAGGGAGAGTGAGCAGAGGGTTGGGTTCTCTGCTGGGTGCCCACGTGCTGTCTCTCATCCCAGGGGTTAGGATCCTCCCCAAGAACAGTGGGTGTTTTCTTGAATGATCTGAGGAGGGGTTTTATTTATTTATTTTTTATTTTTTTATTTATTTTTTTATTAGTGAAACACCATGAGGTACAGTTGTAGACTTACAAATTTTTGTGCTTGGATTTCAGTTATACAATGATCAAGTACCCATCCCTCCACCAGTGTCCACTTTCCACCACCATGTGTCCCAGTATCCCTCCCACCCCCCATCCCCCCATCCCACCCTGCCTCTGTGGCAGGGCATTCCCTTTTGTTCTCTCTCTCTCCTTTTGGGTCCTGTGGTTTGTAAGAGAGGCACTGAGTGGCAATCATGTTTGGTCTATAGTCTACTTTCAGCATGCATCTCTCATCCTGGGAGGATCCTCCCAACACCCTTTACTTGGTGCTCCCTTCTCTATCTGAGCTCCCTTTTCCCCTAGCATGTGCGGCTGGCCTTGAGGAGGGGTTTTAGAGCTGCCATCTGGGCAGCAGGACCACTTGGTCCTGGGGCCAGACAGGCCTGGGCTTTCATTCCAGCTCTGCCACTTGCTCTCGAGAATCCTCTAAGAAAGTAACCTAATCTCTTTGATGTCTCCTCATCTGAGCAAGGAGAGAAAATGTGCCGGGTTTCAAGTGTGTGAATACATGAGTCCTTGAATGGTCGTAAAAGAGGTTTTGGTGCTGGTAGTGTTTTTGTTGTTGTTGTTTTGCCGTGCCAGGGATCACAAACCCAAAGCCCCACACATGTGAAGCATGTGCCCCAGCACTGAACCACATCCCCAGCCCTCCTAGCTCATAATTCTTAAGTTTCAATCTGACTTTGGTAGTCGATCCTGAATAACTCACATTCACATTCTCAATATCACTCTTTCCACCTATGATGCAGGGGAAGGAAATCCCTTTTACTGAGCACTTACTATATGAACTAGTCATTTTCGCATACACTATTTCACATGAGTAATCAGATCATAACTTTATTAATTTTGTTTGTTTGGGGCCACACTTGGTAAGGCTCAGGAATTACTCCCAGCTTGGTGCTCAGAAGTTGTTCTTCGTGGTACTCAGGTGACATGAAGTGCTGGGGATTGAACTTGCAATTGCCACGTGCAAAGATTGTGCCTCAGTCCATTGAGCTATCTTTCCTAATCCCACAATAATTTCATAAAATGGGTACTACTATTGTTAGTTTAAAGATTAAAAAAAGACTTGGACTGGGGGCTGGAGCAATAGCATAGCGGGTAGGGCATTTGCCTTGCACGTGGCTGACCCAGGTTCGGTTCCCAGCATCCCATATGGTCCCCTGAGCACTGCCAGGGGTAATTCCTGAGTGCAGAGCCAGGAGAAACCCCTGTGCATCACCGGGTATGACCCAAAAAGCAAAAAAAAAAAAAAAACTTGGATTTGAGATAACTCAAAAAGCCAAAGTACATGCATGGCATGTAGGGAACCTGAGTTCAGTCCTTGGAACAAACCCCAAGGTGCCACTGGGGAATGACTGAGCACTGAGCTGGGAGTGGTCCCTCAGCACCTCCAGCATGGCACCAAAAAAAAATATTAACAACAGGAAAAAATGTGAGAGTGAGGGAATCATATTTTTTGGCAAATCCTCATAGCTAATAAGGGATAGAGTCAAGGTTTGGGCCAGATCTAACCAGTGTGAAGCTAGACTTGCCTCACTACCTCAAAGGGAGGCTACTCTACTACATTTTATCACCTAATTTGCACTAACGGGGCCCATGGAGTGTGTGTGTGTGTGTGTGTGTGTGTGTGTGTGGTGTGTGTGGTGTGGGGGGGAGGGGTGTCCCTTCAACAAATAGTCCATTGTTATGCTTAAGTCATATGCCATATCTACATGAACTTTTCCGTGGTAGGAAATTATTGATCCCCATGTCCCCAACCACAGCATCTGGCACAAAACAAAGGCTTTAGTGACTGAATAAATATGTGAATAAAGAGAATAAAATCACATAAGCCCCCGCCACCCCCCAGTGTACAGACAGTAGCCAAAGTACAGGATGAGAAAACCTGACCACCTGAAACATCTTTTAGGACTACAGTTCAAACCTAGTCTAGACAAAAACAACACTAGCAGGGAGCTGGAGCAGTAGCATGGGGGAGGGGGGGGCGGGGGAGGGCGCGGGCATTCGTCTTGCACGCGACCAGCCAACCCAGGTTCGATCCCCAGCATCGCATACGGTCCCCTGAGCACCACTAGTTGTGCCCCCCCAAAACAAACAAACAAACAAACAAACAAAAATACTGCCGTACATTATCAGCACAGGCCACACTCATTCCCTTCCTTTATGTCACTGTCCTTGCCCTCAGAAATCAGGGCTGTGAGTTCTCATCCTCACATGCAATAGAGAAAAAGACAGACAGAGGTTTGGAAGGGGTTAGTAGCTGTGCCCTTCCCTACCCAGAGGGCACGATGCTCCAGGTCCACACACCTCTGGGCAGTCTGCTGAGATGCCCACTCTGTTTTTGCTGTGCCCATCTTTTGGAGCTTAAGAAGGCCCAGAGAGACTGGGGTCTGCTGCTCTCTGCATCCCACACTCAAGTCCCAGGAACACCAGTGCTGGTCTAATCACCACCTTCCCTGAGTAAGTGGAGAAACTGAGGTCCCGTGGGTGGGGACTCACCCAAATGACAGCTTTTTGCTACAGACCGAGCTGGATTCTACTGCGGCAGTATGCCTCAGGAGGAAAGAGGGGGGCCCTCTCTGCTCTCCCAGCTCATCTGCTTGAGCAGAAACAGAGGGTGCCGGGTCTGCAGCTCCTCCTGACCCTCTCCCCCAACACATCTGCTAAGTGCCCAGGAAGGTGGGGACTTAAGCCTGATGACAGAGGGGGAAGGGCAAAGTGGAAGCTTGGCTGAGGGTGCGTAAAGTCGGGTGCCCGGCAGAGGAGAATTAAAGCTGGAGGCTGAGGTTTGCATGCAGGTCTGTTTGGGGGGGAAGGAGTGAGAGGGACCCTGGGGTTGTGATGGGAGAGGGGTACTGGGTGAAGGGAAAGTTGAGGAGGGCGTTGGCAGTGATGCGGAGGAAAGGGCTGGGGGCACTGGCAGGAGGATGGCGTTCTGATTTCCCTGGTCGGGAAGATGAGACTTGCCAGTGGGGGGTCCACCTGTTTGCTCTGGAATTTGGGGTGGGGGTGAGAGGGGAACCAGCGAGGACCAGAGTCGGATCAGATTTTCTAGGGTACGACTGGGGGTGAGGTGCAAGCATGGATATGGATCGTGGGTGGGGGTCCGGCCGGGGGCGGGTGGGGGGCACGGAGCAGGGGACGCAGGGCAGGACAGCAGGAGGACAGCAGAGGTCCGAGCTGGGGCAGCGAGGGGCGAAGCGGCGCGGGCCGGGGCTGGTACCTGAGCCACCACATGTAGCTGTGCTCGTAGGGGAAGAAGCTGTGCGGGTCGTCGCAGCAGTACTTGTGGTCGCGGAAGCCGCAGCAGTAGACGGCGGCCGCCTCGCCCCCGGGCCGCGGGCAGCTGAAGCCGCGCACCACCTCCTGCTCGGCGCTCACGTAGCCGGTGCAGGCGCCGCTCATCGCCCCCGAGACGGCCGCCCGCAGCCGGCGGGACGGGAAGGAGCAGGAGCGCGGGCGCGGCGGAGCGCGGGGCGGGAGCGGCGCGCGGGCCCGGGCGGGGAAGGACGCGGCGGGCCGGGGTGTCACGCCGGCCCTGCTCCGGCCGGTGCGGGGTGCGGAGTCGGAGGCCAGGACAGCGCCGGGCAAGTCCGGCCGAGCCGACGCACCGCAGTTTGGGGAGATGAGGAGTCCGACCTCACTTCGCCTTCGCGGCAACCCGGAGGGCGGTGGTGCGGGGGGCTGGTCCAACTCCCACTTCAGAAAAGCGGGCTGGAGATACAGGTCCAGCATCTTAAATCCATTGACTCTTTGTTATTGGGGGGGAGGGGGCGGGGAGGCAGGTCACACGTGGGGATGCTCAGGGGGTTACTCCTGGCTCTGCTTTCAGAAATTTGGTTTGGGCGGTGCTTGGAGGGGACCATATGGGACACCCGAATTGAACAGGGTTGATCACGTGCAAGGTGAGAGACTCGCCCACTGTACTATCTCTCCAGCTCCGGCCTTTTAGCTTGAGTTTGGTTCCTTCTGCACCACTTTTCCAGGGGCTCTCAACGTCCCTGTCCTCCAGCTCCCTTGCTGGTCTTGTCCTTTCCCTGAGCAGCTAGCCCAGACCCTGGACTGTTCATACTGCAGCCAGCCACACTGTGCTGGGCAAAGGGGTTAGTGGATGTCTCCAAAGTAACTCCTTCCACCTCGAAGAAAAGAATGCACACACCTCTCCCTCCAGGAAATAATTTGCAGATCATTGGAATAGCATCCTAGCTAGCATGCCAGGACCCCCTGCATGCACGATCAGCAGGTTGAGATTGCCTTCCTGGTATTTCTGAGGAGTACATAGGGATCATCAGGCTGAGAGGGGCACAGAGGGGATACAGCACCGTTCAGTGACCTGAGCCAAGTCCCTCGGTGGATACTGCTGGGGTTTAGCGGGGGCTGTGGAGGGGGTCTCTGAATCATCATTCCACTCAGTGAGTCACATGCCACTCGGTGAGTCGAAGTGCACTAGAGACTATCCAGCTAAGGGTTCTCTCTAAACAAGACACTTGTTTCAGTTACCTGTTTCTTGTGAGTTTGGATCATGATGCAGAATGCATCATTTCAGACAAAGGTCTGAAAGTCACTGAATTCCCTGTTGTGCAAATGGAACAGACTCGCTCAAAGTGATAAAATCATAAGCTCTCCTCACTTCCCAAGCAGTGGGTAAAGTTCCTCCATTCCATACTCTGGAGTGTTGGGAGGAAGATCAGAAAATGAAGAATCTGACCATGAACCTTCTCCCCACCCCTCTCTCTGGTGCTCCAGGCTCCTTTTCTTCATCTAAGCTGCTTCCTCAGATACTGATGTGTGCCATACCCTTGACCTAGACCCTGGGTCTGCCCTGGAGAAACACAATGTCGGAGAGATAATACAGGAAATAAGGCACGCACTTGCATGCACTTGAATCTGTTTGATCCCCAGAACCACATCTAGTCCCCCCTCACCCATCCCCCCAACCACCAGGGATCACTCTTGAGCACAGATCCAGAATTAACCCCTCAGCACCTGGGGTAGGCCCAAACCCCTCCCACACAAAACACAACACTCCTCAACAAAAAGAGAGAGGAACAGGGGCTGGAGAATTTCCATCGTGCAGATGGGAGGGACTCACTCAAGGTGATAAAATCATGAGCTCTCCTCTACAGTGGGTAAGGGCATTTGTCTTTTGTGCAACCAACCTGGGCTTGATCCCTGTCATCCCATATGGGTAACCTGAGTGCAGAGCCCTTGGAGGGGAGCGGGTTGAGCTTTCCTCCCCACCCCGACCAGGGCTCCGGCAGCCAAAGACCTCCAGGACCAGCCACCACCATGCTGAGACCACTCTCCGCACACATCAAGGTACTGGCAGAGGGACAAAGTCACGTGGGTTCCGGGGCCGAGATCTCCAAGCCTACTCGGATTTGGGCCGAGCATCCTCCACCCAGATCCTCCAAATTTCAGTAGGCGGGGGTCACACCCACCAACTGGTCCCCTGGCGCTGTGTAATCCCATCAACGGCCAAGACTCAGAGACTATAAAAACCAGGTCCCGGAACCGACATCTTATTATGACATCTTATTATCTCATTCCTACTTTGGACAAACTGGCAGGCTACCGAATGTAGCCTGCCCACACGGCAGAGTCTGGCAAACTCCCCGTGGCGTACCCAATATGCCAAATACCAGTAACAATGATGGGTCTCATTCTCCTAAAGAGCCTTGAATATAATCTCAGGGCTAGGATGAAGGAGACGTTACTGGGGCCTGCTCGAGGCAATCGACGAATAACAGGATGATTTGTGATTGTGATTTGTGAGTGCAGAGCCAGGAATAACCCCGGAGCATCACTAGGTATGACCCAAAAGCTCAGAGAGAGAGAGAGAGAGACAGAGACAGAGAGACAGAGACAAAGAGACAGAGATTGAAAATGGAGAGAAACACACAGAATGGTGGAGAGTCGGGTGGGGAGAGAATCACAGGACAGGGCATTGTCAAAGCGAAAACCTGTGCTCACAAAGGTGCCACCATCTGAAGTAGCAGGGAAGCATTTTCAGGAGTTGGTGTCTTTAAAGGTCTCTTAATGTTAGATGTAAGAACTAGAGGGATTGCTACTACTCCCCAAAAGATTTCTGTACTGAGCTGGGCATCTCTGGCAGCTGATTGGTGTGCTGGAATGAAGGGCTCTGTGGCCTCTTCAGCAGATGGAGAGGAAAGAGGGGTGCCAGCCACGTGGGGAAAGGAGAAAGTGGTCCTGGAGATGTGGGGCTCACCTGGGAACTAGAAAGCACTCTGCCTGGCTTTTGGCAAAACTGGGAAGCTGCCAACAGTTCCCAAAGCCCCTTTTCATCCAGAATTTAATTTGTTCCTCCAAACATTACCAGGGGTGAGTCAAGAAGGATGATTGTGCTTAAACATCAAGCCAGCAGCAGGGAAGGCAGGTTCAAGGGTACCCCTTGTGCTGTCTGATGGAGAGAATGGAACCCTACTCAGAAGAACCCTCTTCAGTTTGTGGTTTTTGCTTTGGGGTCACACCCAGCAGTGTGGCTCAGTGTTGGGGAGTCACTCCTGAGAAAACTGGTAAATTTCAGTTAGAATGAATCTCGAATTTTCTGTGACAATAAACATGTGGCTTTTTCTTTGTTTTTTTTTTTTGTTTGTTTGTTTGTTTGGGGGCCACACTCTCTGGTACTCAGGTTTACTCCTGGTTCTGTGCTCAGGGCTCATTCCTGGGCTCAGAGTGGGCTCAGAGGACCATATGGGGTGCTCGTGTTGGGGGCTGGTCCACTTGCAAGGCAAGGGCCCTACCCTCTCTACTGATTCTCTGGTACTTTACGACTTGCTCTTTTACTGTGTGCATAATTTTCTTTCCTGTAAACACTTAACTTAGACCAGTTATGTGCCAAACTGTTTCCGGTCACGTGGGTGTTATTTTTCCCATTTGGTAGACAAAGCAAATCAAATTCAGAAGATTAAGTAATTCACCACAGGGCTCACAACTGCATGGAGCCGTCTTTTTTTGTCTTTCCTATTTAAGGTCTGGGAATCCGAGTTTCCAACATAGGAAGGAAAAGGAAGCAAGGTATGAGTGAAGAACTAGGGAAACTCACGTTTATCAACTAGAAATTGTGCTATTTATTATTTCCTTTAATCCTCACAACTGTTGTGAGAGCGAAAATTATGCCATTGACAAGCTGCAGCCAACATTAAGTCTCAACTAGGCCTCAGTTTCTGTTTCCCCAAACAGAAACAGAAACTGGCAGTTTCTGGTAAACTCCCAGTTGAGAAATTTGCTGAGACAAGAAATTGGGCAGTTGGGTCTGACCAGTCATGAAGGGTCACTGCCCCCTCCTTAGAAACTGTTGCTAATCACTGCCTAATTGCTGACCACCATTGTAATAGGACCAATGCTAAAAATAGACCAGTATATCAATTGCTTCTTAACTCTGAACCTATATAAACCGCTTGTGATTTGAAGTCGGGGTCCTTGTCAAGACTCTGCTGCGTTGGATGAGACTAGGACCCTGGCTCGAGCTAGAGGTGGCTTGGGCTAGTAATAATGTTCCTTTGCTTTTGTGTTATCCTGTGTGGACTTGGTCTCTCCGCAAATGGGGATCTGAAACTCCGGCACAACACTGTATGCAGTATTACTTGACCGAAAACTATGTACAGAGCAATAGTAAAGTGGGTAGGGTAATTGCCGTTCATGCTGCTGACCTGGGTTTGATCGCTGACTCCCCATGTTGTTGCCCAAGCCCTGCCAGGAGAGATCTTTAAGTGTAGAGCCAGGAGTAAACCCTGAGCACTGCCAGGTGTGGCCCAAATAGCAAAATAAATAAATACATACAGAAAGAAATACATAAAAATATGTTTAAAAAACCCATTCGAGCCCCTCTCCCCAGAACTAATCAGATACAGCCCTAGAGATCCCAGCATTGCCCAGCCCAGCTGGAAGGCTGTGTCCCCAGGCCCCCTGAAAACAATGTAAGGATTGGGGTGTAACTCAGTGGTAGAGCAGAGCACATTCTTCGCATGTATGAAGCGCTACACTCCAAACTGTTTATTGGATGGAGGGCGGCAATGTTTGAGAGTCACTTCGGGTGGTGCCAGGAATTGAACCTCAGAGTCTGTGGCATGCATGGCCAGCGCTTATCTCAGAAAAAAAATAAAAATAAGTACATGCAGCGTGCCGGGTCCGATTCTTTCGCCCTTCTAGGCGAGCCCGGCAAGCTACCGAGAGTATCTCATCCGCATGGCATAGCCTGGAAAGCTCCCTATGAAGTATTCAATATGCCAAACACAGTAACAACAAGTCTCACAATGGAGACGTTACTGGGCCCGCTCGAGCAAATCAATGAGCAACGGGAGGACAGTGGACAGTGGACATGCATAGTCATTATAGAACAACACATTAGAAAATGCAGATAAACAAAAAAAAAGCTAATCTTTTTCTATAGTCTTTCAGATACACACA